CTACTTATGTCCAAAAAAAAAAAAAAAGAACCATGGAGCACCCCCTGCTGAGTGTCCCCGACCAGCAGCTCTCAGGGAGGCCCAGGCCAGTGTCTGCAGCAGCACCTGCGGACTTGCCAAAAGCACACCTTTGTGGCCTCCCCTCGGCGTGGCCCTGGGCAGGACTGTGCAGTCTGTGTTCGCGCCCTGCAAGGGGTCTGACACCAGCTCCAGTGAAAGGGGGAAAATAAACATTTGCTGAGTACCCACGAGTATGTAAGGTTTGCATAAGGCCCTTGATCACAAAATCAGTAAGTGGCCTATCTGGACCTTAAACTGTCAGATGCCGATGCCATGGAGAAATAGGACAGTTTTGGAGTTGAACAACATTGTCACCAGGGGGTGTCACATCCCACAGTGGAGAGCAGGTAGGAGCGTGCAGGGCCCTGCGGCACTCAGCTTCCTGTTGGGGGGGAGTTCAGGGACAGCTGGTGCTTACACAGGTGAAGGGGCACTTGGCACGGGGTGGTCATGGTAACAGAGCTGCGGGCGCTGTCGGGCTGGAGGTAGAGGCTCGCTGAGCAGACAGAGCTGACAGTGTGCTCTCAGCCTGGGCTCACAATGGGATCATCCGGGCAGCTTTCAAACATCCCCATCCCCAGGCCTCACGCCCAACTCATAAATCAGGTTTCCTGGGAGCTGAGACTGTTCTTAAAGCTCCTCAGTGATCCGGCCCTCCCCCACCCGAATCTGCAATTCACAAGGCCCCACGATCCCCACCGTGCCATAGTGCGGTGTGAGAAAGGCCGCCTCAGGGGCTGTTTGGACAGCCTGTTGCCTTGAGCTGTTCTGTGCACTGTTAGTGACGTGGATGTCTGATTTTTTTGACAGGACACAACAGACTACGTTGCGTACGTAGCGAAGGACCCTGTTAACCGCAGAGGTAAGCAATGCCTGACCCTTGGCATCTCTCCTCAAACACACAGGCTCGACCCTGGAGGTTCACACAGACATGCCCCCCAGCTCAGCCCTTTCGCCATGAGCCAGCGCACCTCGCACCGCTCATGGTCTTTGAGGGTCGCAGGCGGTGATGCGCGCGGCACACCTGGCTGGGCCTGTGAGCGCCAAACACACACCTGTATCGGCCAGCATGCTCGCGGCACCTGCCCCCTCCGGGCCACTGCCCTCAGACCTTGACAGTGGCCCTGTTGTGCACAGAAGACTACAGATCAGCTGCCCGGACGGGGTGAGCTCCGTGTCCTCTGCGGAGTCTCCCAGGAGCTGGGTGCTGCCCCGCACAGGGCCGGTGTCAGGCTTAGGTGCTGTCACCCCCTGCCCCTCGGAGCTGCCCCGGTGGGGTATGGGGCCCGAGGCATTCCAGTGCTTTCTCTCCTCACGGGCCCTTACTCCTAGATGCTCCTTGCACACCACCACCCCGATTTACCACTTAAAACCAAGCCCCACTCACCGAGGCTCACAAGCCTGGGGGTGGGCCAACGAAGGGTGCCGCCCTGAAGTACCAGGTGGCCACTGGTTCACCAGCAACTCCAATTGAGGCCTCCCCCCACCATCACCAGAGGTGTCGACACAGCACAAAGGGATGCTTCCCTCGCCCACCCACTGGCTGACTCTCTTCCCACCCAGCACCCGGTACCGACGTTTTTCTAGTGGGCAGCAGTTTATTCAGGTACTTACACACATACTTTCTTCTTTGTACATTTCAATACAAATGAGATCTTAGCATCCCATTTTCAAGCCACCTAGAGAGGCCAGGCTACCTGGTCCAGGACAAGGCTTCACCGCCATCTGCCCTCAGGTCTATGGAGCCCCGGGGCTGCGTTTCCTTCCCGCATGTTCTGTGGCCCCTAATGAGGCGTGTGCAGGGGAAAGGCCGGGTGATTGATGCATCACTGCACCTTGCAAATGACCACGCAGACTGGCGGGACGTTTGCGGTGCCTTGTAAGTGAGTGAGGGCGCTTTCCATTGGAGACTTGCCCAGCCCTGGGCTGGAAAGCAATTGGTGGGGCGGCCTTTTCTGTCTTGGGAATGAAGGTGCGATCTTACAGAGTGTTGGCTGTAATTCTTCTCCAGGTATGTTGGGGCTCCCCTAGAAGCTGGCATTGGGGTGTCTGGGGGTTCATAGATGAGGCGTTCTAATGCAGATAACGTGCTCTAATCACCACATTGTCACTCCTAAACCAGAGCCAGGATAAGGACAAAGATTTCAGGGACAAGAGTTGAGGACTATCCCCAGCACCCCTTGCTAACATGCTGAGGCTGACCACGTCTGAACTGAAGCAGCCCCTACGCAACGGGTCAGATGACAGATCCCAAGGGAGATGCATAACATGCTCGTGACTGCCTACGAGGGCAGGCTAGGGCAGCTCAACGCC